TATGAACTGTTGGCAATCCCTGTGGCTAAACAATTAGAACAAGTGAATGAGAGCCAATCCTCGGCTGCAGGACCTGCAGAGGACCTTAAGTGAAGCATTAAAGATAAAGCAACCTAAATTAGTTTTAAGAAACAGCTGCACAGTCTCACAGGCCTTTTGCTGCTTTTTTTTCTGTTCGACAGTCAACGACCCTCATCGAGCGAGAGTCAACACACAGGCTACTACGGTGACAACACACTGTCTCCTCTTTACTTTCATTAAATCGAGATTCTGAAACCAATCGTGACACCAAGAACTGGAATCGAATCATGAGATAACCAGAGATTCCTAATAGTTATGCACACCAGGGTAAGAAAACATACATTGTGCTGCCAGAACTGTGTATCCTACAATCACAGTTTTCCAACCACTGTTATTAACTCTCAAATAGATGTTCAGTGTATCTGTGTGACCATCAATCCTGTCCATCAAAGCCAAAGGAGTCGCCCACGGTGCCGCAAATCTCTTTGAATGATACGTCCGCAGCTTGACCGAGTGCAGCCTCGTAACCGGCCCATGTGACAACCGGTTGAGTCACAGACACTCACACGGCCGAAAAAGTTTGTCCGTGGTCCGCCGCACACACGAACAATGTGGCTGCCACCTGTCGGGCAGTATGCGCTGGATGACGTGAGGGTTACTAAGAGGATTGTGGAACAAGAGGGTCGGGCTAAGATGCACGTGAGGCCCAGACCAGCTGATCCGTACTCGGCCCTATCCGGGCTCCAGTCCCCCGGGGAGAACAGTGTCATCATTAAGCGCTCACTGGCTCCCCGGCGCTCAACCGAAACCCCCCATTCTTCAGCTTCAAACCCCCGCACACTTCTCTTGTGAGGCCAGAATAAAACCATTTCAGAGAAGCCGTCTTTGTTGTTTCTGATCTTGAATATAACACAACAAACCACTTTCTAAAACCATAGAATATCCAATATCCCTCGATTAAACACAGAACTTATAGCTGATTAAAAAAATGGTATTTAATGTCCTGTAGCGTGAAATAATTCCTGGCTGTTGTGAGTTATACCATTGTTGTGATATTTAAACAGTGACTGTACTTATTGCACATATAGAACAATGACCTGCAATGACCTGTATACGGTAACAAGTTCACATTGGTGAGTGTGATGTGACCTCCTCATGAAACAGAGAAAAAAGATGTCTCTGAAAATGAAAATGAGGCGTTCAAATTCTGTTAATAAAGTTGGTTTTAATGTCTGATTCAAGTCTATGCCAGTCATATAGAAATGAATGTAAAAAACAACATTTATACTATAAATGGGAGCACTTTCTCCAGCACATGCAGATCAAACTACATGTAAGAGAAATGTAATAATACCCGAATATTCGGATCTCAAATTTGCTATCCAGACACCAAAAAGACCGAATGTTCTGATATTCAGGTCCAGCCCTACTGTGTCGGTCGATGCATTCATCTTCCTCCTCACCATCCTTTTCGCTTCATGTGCAGTAGACCGGACGACAACAACGGCACTGCACATGCACGTTTCACTCAAATTTTATCGCAATTTTTCAATTTCATATCATCCCCTAACATTACACTGGTATGGTATGATATGGCCCTAATCTCAGTTATTGTTTGTGTCTTGTTTATTCAATCGACATTATTGCCTCTTTTTCTCAGTTTGGTGGACACATGTTAGAGACATGTACATTCAACATGCAGTGGGCTTTTATAAAACGGTAACCTGACAAGTGATCTTATGTATCTTGACTTCCAACTTAGAAAATATTTTACATAAAGATTAAACTGTGAAGCTATTTGTTCAAACAGCTCTATCACTGCTCAGTTATAAGCTAACACAAAGGAAATGTTTCCCAACGTAAGGCCTCAGATTCCTTTCAAGTGCATAAGAAAATATTTTTCCAAAGGAAATCTCCAATCAGTGTCGTATTTTCTTTTACAAAGCCTGGTTCAGATCTACTGCACTGATAAACTGGACTAAACATATCCACGTAAACATGGAAATGTCATTAGGGTTATGGATCGGGCACTTCCGATCAGGAACAATACATTGAATAAGAGGCAGGAAATATGAAGAGGTCCTGAGGGCCCTGACACACTGAGCTGACTGTGGGCCACTACCGGGTCGTTTTGAATGTAGTTTTTGAGACACAGTTTGTCTGACACAGTTTACTCGAGGCCGACCTCACAGCAGCAGCTCGGCCAGCTCAGCATGCTGAATTAGAGGTAGAGGACTTTCTGCTTCAACCTTGCAAATTATTTTTGCCACTTCAGTGCAAAGTTTCATCTCCTTATTTTTCCCCTTTCAAACACTGAACAATCGCTTCATCCTATCTGGCACTGATGGTGAAGGAACCAGTCCAATTACGCGAGTCGCATTACAAAGTAATCTGCATGTGCACTTGCCAATATTTTATTGTCCAACTCATTACACTGCGGATCTGAACGTGTCCTCAGGCGAACCGTTTGCTCAACGTCTCCCCCAAGACTTCCACACACCTGATGGATTGACTGACTGCTGCAACAACAACCACAGATGTTCAGACGCTTCCTGACTTAAAACAACACCTTCAGCAGTTCAGAAGCTGTTGGGAGTGACTGAAACGAAGCATTACCACTTTTACTTGAAGATAAATTGTTGGTTGAAAAGTCCCACCGACAACATAACTGTACATTTGACGACTGCGTGGCTGTTCCATCCCGCGCATTGATGAGGAATAACCTTTCAGACACGACTTAATGAGGATGCTGAAAACTCCATAAATCCACGTGCGTCCCCGATATTACTTTGGAATAACAATTTAATAAGACCACAGTCATCCTGAATTCCCAACCTGAGATAAGCACCAGGCAATTCCAAGTTTACAATATTACTGTCTGAATCTGACATATCACCGCGACAGATCGCATCCGTATTCCGCCGCTGGTGAGCATAATTACAGACGCTGCTGAAGAGGGGAGACGGAGGCAATGTGTGGGGAAACGGTCACGTGATCTACGACAAGAAAGATAACGTTTTGTTTCAATTCAGCGGCACCCATTTGAGAACTAATCGCTGTGCTTGGAAACCAGTCTCCGGGGCCATTACATAATGAGCTGAGATGTAGTTAGCCATAAAACTGTCAAGTGGTTACACATCGCAGCGACGCCAGGCCAAAGAGCTGCAAAACATACAGCTTCTAATCGTCATAACGGCGAAGCGTGTTGTGAGTTAGTAACGGAGCGTGTGTTTGAAAAAAGAGGCTTTTTGATTTTGACGGGTATCAAAACACAGAGTATGATGTGGTTAAAAATATACGTCCACATTCGTGTTTGGGACGAAAATAAACACAAAAACACATATAAATTAGAGAGAGGCTGGTATTTGGAACATGACAGGCAGCGCTGATGAAGGGGTTCTCATCCTGTGGAGCTGTGGGGGGTACGTCACAGCAACAAGATCTGAAACCACTGAGCTAAGAAACA